CTTGAAAACAAGATATTTGGTGCAGTAATGCTAACAATCCATTCATTAAAAATAACACATGCACACATGTGTTGTGGAGGAGGGGATGCACAGGCTTCAGTTCAGTTCAGTTCAGTCGCTCAGTCATGTATGACTCTTTGAAACCCCATGGACTGCAGCTCGCCAGATGCCCCTGTCCATCCCCAACCCCCAGAGTTTACTCAAACTCATGTCCATTGAGTCAGTGATGCCATCCAACCATCTCATCCTCTATTGTCCCCTTCTCCTCCTGCCTTCAATCTTTCCCAATACCGGGGTCCTTTCCAATGAGTCAGTTCTTCGCATCAGGTGGTGAACATATTGGAGTTTCAGCTTCAGCATCAGTCCTTCCAATGAAAATTTAGGACTTATTTCCTTTAGGAAATCCAGGGCTCCTTTAGGATGGTTTGATCTCCCTGCAGTCCAAGGGACTCTCAAGAATCTTATCCAAGACTGCAGTTCAAAAGAATCAATTCTTCAGTGCTCAGCTTTCTTTATAGTCCAATTCTCACATCCATACATGACTACTGGAAAACCATAGCCTTGACTGGGTGGACCTTTGTTGGCAAAGTAATGTCTCTGCCTTTTAATACACTCTCTAGGTTGGTCACAACTTTTCTTCCAAGGAGTAAGCGTCTTTTAATTTCATGGCTGCAGTCACCATCTGCAGTGACTTTGGAGCCCCCCCAAAATAAAGTCTGCCACTGTTTCCCTATCTATTTGCCATGATGGGATCAGATGCCATGATCTTAGTTTCCTGAATGTTGAGCTTTAAGCCAACTTTTTCACTCTCCTCTTTCACTTTTATCAAGAGGCTCTTTAGTTCTTCTTTGCTTTGTGCCATAAAGGTGCTGTCATCTGCATATCTGAAGTTATTGATATTTCTCCCAGCCCTCTTGATTCCAATTTGTGCTTCACCCAGCCCAGCATTTCTCATGATGTACTCTGCATATAAGTGAAATAAGCAGGGTGAGAATATACAGTCTTGAGGTACTCCTTTCCCAATTTGGAACCAGTCTTCTGTTCCATGTCCACTTCTAACTGTTGCTTCCTGACTTACATACAGGTTTCTCAAGAGGCATGTCAGGTGATCTGGTACTCCCATCACTTTCAAAAATTTCCACAGTTTGTGGTGATCCACACAGTCAAAGGCTTTGACATAGTCAGTAAAGCAGAAGTAGATATTTTTCTGGAACTGTTGCCTTTTCGATAATCCAGCTGATGCTGGCAATTTGATCTCTGGTTCCTCTGCCTTTTCTAAATCCAGCTTGAACATCTGGAAGTTCATGGTTCACGTATTGTTGAAGCCGGACTTGGAGAATTTTGAGCATTACTTTGCTAGCATGTGAGACGAGTGCAATTGTGTGGTAATTTGAGCATTCTTTGTCATTGCCTTCCTTTGGGATTGGAATGAAAACTGACCTTTTCCAGTCCTGTGGCCACTACTGAGTTTTCCAAATTTGCTGGTATACTGAGTGCAGCACTTTCACAGCATCATCTTTTGGATTTGAAATAGCTCAACTGGAATTCCATCACTTCCACTATCTTTGTTTGTAGCGATGCTTCTTAAGGCCCACTTGACTTCATATTCCAGGATGTCTCGCTCTAGGTGAGTGATCACACCATCATGATTATCTTGGTCATGAAGATCTTTTTTGTATAGTTCTGTGTATTCTTGCCACCTCTTCTTAATATCTTCTGCTTCTGTTAGGTCCATACCATTTCTGCCCTTTTTTGAGCTCATCTTTGCATGTAATGTTCCTTTGGTATCTCCAATTTTCTTGAAGAGATCTCTAGTCTTTCCCATTCTATTGTTTTCCTCTATTTCTTTGCACTGATCACTGAGGAAGACTTTCTTATCTCTCCTTGCTATTCTTTGGAACTATGCATTCAAATGAATGTATCTTTCTTTTTCTCCTTTGCTTTTAGGTTCTCTTCTTTTCACAGCTATTTGTAATGCCTCCTCAGACAGCCATTTTGATTTTTTGCATTTCTTTTCCATGGGGATGGTCTTAATCCCTGTCTTCTGTACAATGTCACGAACCTCCGTCCATAGTTCATCAGGCACTGTGGCTATTATATCTAGTCCCTTAAAACTATTTCTCACTTTCCCTGTATAACCGTAAGGGATTTGATTTAGGTCATACCTGAATGGTCTAGTAGTTTTCCCTACTTTCTTCAATTGAAGTCTGAATTTGGCAGTGAGTTCATGATCTGAGCCACAGTTAGGTCCTGGTCTTGTTTTTGCTGACTGTATAGAGCTTCTCCACCTTTGGCTGCTTGGAGAGCCATAAATATGTTACCTGTGTGTATGGATCAGACGGGGAGATTTTAAAAAGACAATTCTAATTATGGACTCTCTGGTGGTAATATGTACCCCTGAGATCTTCTAGAAAATATATAAAATCTCAGCTCTTGGTGCTCATCACTCTGAGATTCCTATTGTGACTAATTCTCTTCTAGCCCATAAACACTTCGTTTGAAGCAGGTGAGTCATATTTTATTGCTGTGGGGTGTAATTTCAGCTAGGTGTACTGAATCTAAGGTAGGTGGTTAAAAATATTAGGACCATTGTCTAGAGTGAAGCAGAGAGACAAGAGCAGTTGTCTGTTGGAGCCACATTCACTGGCTAGCAAAATCAATTGTGTACATTTCTTTCAAAGTCAACCTCGAGTGACTTTTTGTTGGTAAATGAAATTGACCATGGTAGATGAATATACACCATGGTAACTGGCAAATACATTAAATCAGGGTTTAATTTTACTATATATATATACTTTTATATACATGCTATACATACATGCATATCTTATATATGCATACTATATATGTACTATTTATACATAGTATATATGTAAATACTTATATATACATTTTATATATATGTAAGTGTATATATATATATATATATATGTATATATATATATATATATATACACACACACACACACATGTGGTGAGCTGGTTTACCAGCACACCACTGTTCCAGACTCAGAAATAAGGGCTGTCCAAGTAGAGTGGGAAGTGTTGCCTGTAGTGAAGATGTGCTGGGCACTGGGACTCTCTTTAGCTCTCAGGGTGCCCAAAATCCTTGAGTCCCTCCAGATAAGCCTCTGTATTTGCACTGGTCCGTACTGCTGTAAATATCTAAAGCATTTAAAGGATCTTATCCACAATTTCCTTGCCCTAATCCTCATTGCACCTATCCAATGTTTGCATTTTGTTGTTTCATGAAACATTTTGAGAATTTATACTGTACCTCAGTATGCTTGTTTCTGGAGATGCACAAAGAAAAGAAGTAATACTCAGGTCTCAGAAAGCTCCCAATTAATTGGTAGTACACTGACAGGTAATCAGATATGCTTCTATCTGAGAGAGGTCTTCTGATGATTAGACTCCTCGTGAAAATGTAGTGAAAGCAGTGGTTTATAGGGAGATGTATCAATAAGCATATTCCAACATATTAGGCAGATGATAAGTAATCTGAATAAAGTTAGTTCTCTTTGCAGCATGAGACAGGGAGGTGGAGGTGAATTGTCCAGAGAGATGAAGGCAACTGAAATCTTCATGAGGCATTTGAGAAATAATCATAGAATGATCCCAGCTAGACAATCAACAGCTCTATCATACAACTTCACTTATAGACTCAATTCTTGTGCCTTTTAGCCTCTATTTTATGCTTCCCAGTAAAGAAAGCCTCTTTGCCCCTCTGAAAGTACCCAATGAGCATAACCATCTAAAATCTGGTCCTCTTCTGGCTCTTATTTTGCTTCATCTCTTTTTCCCGCTAGGTTTTCATCAGCATTGTATGAATAGCTGGCCATCAAACCTCAGTGCACCATCATATCTATTTTTACTTCTTCCATCTCCTTCAGGAGGATGGATGCCTTTCCTCAGGAGAGAATGGGTACTCAAAGTGCTTGTGTGGCCACACACTGACCTGCTGGCAGTCACTGTCAGCAGGCACAACCTCATGAGCCTCTCCAAGCAATTTTTTCTCATGATTTATTTTCTATACAGTGCTCCACGTTTTTTAGTGCCTCATTCTTAAATTCAAGTGGGATTGTAAGATCTGTAATATAGGGTTATGAAATCACTGCTTTTTAGCATAGCATTCTTGTGTAAGTTATGCCTATCATCTCCAGGCTTAACTTCACATGGGAAAAAACTTCCAGTATTCTGCTGGGTAAGGAAAGTGGGACCTGGATGAACAGGTTGAGAAAGAGGATCTAGGAATCTAACTGCTCTTAAAACAGATTTTCAACCAATAATTTTTTAAAACCTACTTTTATCCTTATTTAGAAAAGTACCTGATATCTCTAATTCTGGAAACTATCTGCATTCTTCAGTGAAAATTGCCTAGATTCTTGTTTTCATCCAGAAGTTATTCATTTTTTCCCATTTGTTTAGTCAATAGTTGTCCACCTGCTTTCAAAACATTACCACTCCTTCTCTGCTATTGTGTTCTCTTCTGCTTTTTTGGTTTATGATACTTTTGTTATTTTACTGATATTTTGGCAGGATATTAGGATGAAATAGAGGTAAATGCAGACATTTGATGTGATACAGTTAAGCAGGAAACCTAGAAAAACATATATAACTTGTATTTCTCTTTTTCTCTTTTAGGAGAAATTCAGAATAAGTCCACATTAGCCTGTCTTAGGAATGGATGGCTTCAACGACAGTGGTGTTAACCATATAGTCTTCTATCTGCTGGGCATTCCAGGCCAAGAAGACTACACCTGTGGATTTCCATCCCCTTCTTCATCTCCTATGTCTTTGCCCTCCTTGGAAATGGTCTGCTCATCTTCATCATCCTCATCAAGAGCAGCCTCCATGAACCTATGTATCTTTTCCTCTGTATGCTGGCTGCAGTCAACATTGTTTTTGCCTCAACCACAGAACCCAAGGCATTGGCCATTTTCTGGTGTAACAGTAGGGAAATATCTCTTAATGGCTGCATTGCCCAACTCTACTTCCAGCATTCCTTTTTCATTTCTGAGTCAGGCATCTTGTTAATTATGGCATTTGACCGCTACATTGCAGTATGTTACCCACTGAGATACACCACAATACTCACCCACTCTCTGATAGGGAAAATTGGTGTGGCTGTTTTCTTGAGAGCACATTGTACAATTTTCCCCATGGTATTTCTTCTGAAGAGGCTGCACTTTCGCAGAAATAACATCCTCCCACATACATTCTGTGAACACATTGGCTTAGCCAAGTATGCCTGTGATGACATCCAAGTAAACATCTGGTATGGATTTTTTGTCTTGATGTCAACAGTGATCCTAGATATTGACCTCATTTTTGTTTCCTATGTTCTGATTCTCCATGCTGTCTTCCACATTCCTTCCCAAGAGGCTTGTCACAAAGCTCTCAACACATGTGGCTCCCACGTCTGTGTCATCATCCTTTTTTATGGGCCTGGGATCTTCTCAGTCCTCACTCAGTGCTTTGGACGTGACATCCCACTACACATCCACATCCTACTGGCCAGTGTCAGCATGTTTGCTCCACCTATGCTTAATCCCATCATTTATGGAGTCAAGATGAAACAGATATGAGACCAAGTCATTTACGTGTTGTTTAATAAGCAGAAATGACTTTGGGGATGACAGAGACTGGTTTCTCAGAAATTGTGGTCCTCTATGAAATGTACTTTGGCAGCAGTGAACAAGAGAACTAGTACTAAGTAAGTAGGAAAAATGACTCATGGAGTTATGGGCTCTGGAGCAACTTACTTGAGCCTGTGAGCCTTGCCTTTCTAATCAGTCTGAAAGCCGTGCCTGTGGGTTGACTGAGATACTTACAGCTTATTATTTGGGAGTGGACAGGTTGTTCTCTGGCAGTCATGTCTAACTCAGTAATATTCAGTTCAACTTTTGGAATAGTCAAATGTAATATTAAGTCCCAATTAGATTAAAAAAAAGTAGGTTTTCTGTCTTGAGCTATGTTAAGTCCCAAGACATCTCACACATCTCTGGACACTCATGTAAAACCTTCATTGCTTCATATGCTTACTCAAAGTGTGATGGGAGTGAAGAGGTGCTATACTTATAACTTTTGACTTTTGGGGATTGTTTTTCAAAGATCATTCCCTTCAAAATGGTACAGAATAAATGCAGGCTTCCTTATCAGCAACCATTTCCACATCACTTTCATACAGCCTATGATTCAGTCTCAAGGAACTGCATATCTCTAATGTCTCCATGTTCAGTCATGTTTTCAGGTGTCTTGGTACATTTTCCCTAAATAATCCATTTGCCTGGAATGTCCTCTACTTTTCTTGACCTTTTAATGAATTCTCACCATTTATCTTTCAAGGCTCAGCTTGGTGTCACCTACCCAATGAGGTCATTACAATCACTTCATCTCAAGGTGAAGTACTACTTTCTCTACAACATGAGATCATATTGTTTATACTTCTTTTGAAAACATTTTCATTTTATATAAATATTCTATAGAAAAGTAGTAAGATGAAGATTAAACTTGTACATGATTTTACTACCCAGAGAAATTTGCTGTTCATTTCGGTGTATAATCATTCAGGTTTTATGTACATACATATATATATACACATAATTGTAACAAATATAACTACATACATATTCATATCTTAGTTGTGACATGTGGCATCTAGTTCCCTGACCAGGGAGCAAACTCAGGTCCCCTGCATTAGGTGTGTGGAGTCTTAGCCACGGGACCACCAGGGAAGTTCCAAGCTTTACAATGATTTTAGCCTTAAGGAGAGATATCAAGATTTTAGACTCACCTGGAATATTGGAAAGTTGCTTCTAGAGAAGTTACTATTGATTTTCACTCTTGTGAAATACATGCCAAAATTTATTGCACCCTTCACTGCAGATGGTGATTGCAGCCATGAAATTAAAAGATGCTTACTCCTTGGAAGGAAAGTTATGACCAACTTAGACAGCATATTAAAAAGCAGAGACATTACTTTGTCAACAAAGGCCTGTCTAGTCAAGGCTATGGTTTTTTCAGTAGTCATGTATGGATGTGAGAGTTGGACTATAAAGAAAGCTGAGTGCCGAAGAATTGATGTTTTTGAACTGTGGTGTTGGAGAAGACTCTTCAGGCTCCCTTGGACTGCAAGGAGATCCAGCCAGTCCATCCTAAAGGAAATCAGTCCTGGATGTTCATTGGAAGGACTGATGTCAAAGCTGAAACTCCAATATTTTGGCCACCTGATACGAAAAGCTGACTCATTTGAAAAGACCCTGATATTGGGAAAGATCGAAGGCAGGAGAAGGGGATGGCAGAGGATGAGATGGTTGAATGGCATCACTGACTCAATGGACGTGAGTTTGGGTAAACTCCAGGAGTTGGTGATGGACAGGGAGGCCTGGTGTGCTGCGGTTCATGGGGTCGCAAAGAGTCGGACACGACTGAGCAACTGAACTGAACTGAGCTGCTGGCTTCCCTAGTTGCTCAGATGTTAAAGAATCTGCTTGCAATGCAGGAGACCTGGGTATGATTCCTGGGTGGGAAGATCTGCTGGAGAAGGGAATGGAAACTCACTCCAGTATTCTTGTCTGAAAAACTCCATGGACAGAGGAACCCGGTGGGCTACAGTTCATAGGCCTGCAGAGTCGGTCACGGCTGAGCAACAAACACAATACTAGCATTTAGTAAATAGTTCTATTTCTAGAAATTTGCTGTGTGATATGGTAAAATCATTTTTTCATTTTCTTTTACTCTGAATTTATTAATAGACACATTGAAGAATTTGTATTGTGATTATTGCATATTGTATTTCTTTGTGGATTAATAGTAACAACTATTTATTGAATTTGCGCAAAACTTATTTTACACCTTATTTAATCGTCACGTCAGTTCAGACTTGTTATTGTTTCTAGTCTTTCCATTTTACAGACTTGTAGTTTGAAGCTCAGAGAGGATATATAACTTCCCCAGGGTATTAATATTTATTGAAAGTATTTTCTCAGGTCATTTAAATTTTAATTTCTTTAATTTTCGTTCTTTGGTTATTTTTGTTTTACTTAAAGAAATAAAATATTTTCAAATCCATCATTTTCTTTTATGGGTTTCATTGTTTTAATCTTGGACTATTTTCTTCAATCTAAGATTTGACTATTAATCCTAGATTTGTCTTCTATTTTTTATGGTATACACTTTTATATTTAATTTATAAGAATCTATGTAAATAAATAAACAAAACTAAACAAAATAAAGAAAACAAAATTCAATGACCAATAAACAGAAAACTGAGGCATAATTACTAAATTTTAGTATGTTTTTCAGTTTTTATATGATTATATCTTTCTGTACAGGTATAGTTAAATTTTTTTCTGTAACATTATATGTTTGTTATGCAATAAAACTGTTGGAAACTTTCTAACATGTCATATGAGTTAAGGAATGAACAATACGGTTGATAAGTATTGTTCAAACCTTCTATATATATATACCAATTTAAAATATTCAACAATTATTGGGAAAAGTTATTTTTCTCATAGTAATTATTATTTGCCAGTTTCTTGTAATTCTTGTAAGTTTTGCTCTGGAACAACTGATCTTCTAAGCAGTTTTGAAATTGTAAGTATACTATTTAGTTGAATATGAATATAATTGAGTAAGTTTTCTATTGGTTTTCTTAGTAAACAATTTTATATCCTTTCTCCCAAGCATTGTGTGCCTATAAGGTTTTAAAGCTGATGACTTTTAAACTACATAAAATTTTATTTTTTCCAGTATATCTGATAAGTTTTGAATTTTAATAGATGACTGTAGTCCAGTTACATTTCTTATGAAATAAGATATTTTTTAAAAAGCTCCATATTCTACTTCTTTTCTACAAGAAATTTAACCCTTCATTATTATTTTGTAACAGTTTCTTTGTGTCACATTTTTCCTTTTTTTTTTTTCCTTTATTTTTTGGAAGATAATTGTTTTACAGAGTTGTGGTGGTCTCAGCCATACATTAACATGAATCAGTCATATTTATATATATAGTCCCCCTCCCTCTTGGGCCTCTCCTCCCGCTCATTTCACCCCTCTAGATCGTTACAGAGCACCAAGCTATACTTCATGTGTTATCTAGCAGCTTCCTGCTGGTTATCTATTTTACACATGATAGTATTTTTCTGTTAATGCTACTTGCACAATTTCTCCTAACCTTTCCTTCCCCACTGTGCAGGACGCCTTTTTCTAATCTATCTTTAAATTTCTGATAATCCCTTTGTCGTTGTTCTGTTGTCACTAAGTCATGTCCTACTTTTTGTGACCCCATGGACTGCAGCACACCAGGCTTCCCTGTCCTACACTATCTCCCAGCGTTTGCTCAGATTCATGTCCATTGAGCCAGTGATGCTATCTAACCATCTCACCCTCTGCTGTCGTCTTCTTCTCCCGCCTTCAATCTTTCCCAGCATCAGGGTCTTTTCCAATGAGTCGGCTCTTTGCATCAGGTGTTCAAAGTATTGGAGCTTCAGCTTCAGCATCAGTCCTTCCAATGAATATTCAGTATTGATTTCCTTTAGGATTGACTGGCTTGATCTCCTTGCAGTCCAAGGGACTCTCAAGAGTCTTCTCCAACACCACAGTTCAAAAGCATCAATTCTTGGCACTCAGCTTTCTTCCCAGTCCCACACTTACATCTATACATAACTACTGGGAAAACTATTATTTTGACTATGTGGACCTTGGTCATCAAAGTAATGTCTCTGCTCATCAATACACTGTCTAGCTTTGTCAGATCTCTTTAGATCTATCCAATAAACTGTTCAAACAATCCACTATTTCAATTTCAAAGATTACTAAAAATTAGGGGGGACCGGGATGGGGAATACATGTAAATCCATGGCTAATTCATTTCAGTGTATGACAAAAACCACTGCAATGTTGTAAAGTAATTAGCCTCCAACTAATAAAAATAAATGAAAAAAAAAAAACAAAAAAACACAAAAAACCCCCCAAAACAAAACAAAACAAAAATTAATAGATTTTTTAACAGTAAGTTTAGGTTTACAGAAAAATTGAGTGGCAAGAACAGTGAGTTCCTATATACCTCCTACCCCTTTCCTCCTGCCTCGATAAGAGAGTTTTCCTGGTACATTTG